GGGTTTAAGGGATTCTCCTGCCTCAGCCTCCCCAGTAGTTGGGATTACAGGTGTGAGCCACTGCACTGAGCTAAAATAAATAATAGGTTTCTTTAAAGCAGCGTATAGTCATGTTTTGAGTTTATTCATTCATTATTGCAATCTTTGCTTTTTAATTGGGATGTTTAGAGAATTTACATATAATACGATTCTCTGAGTGGTTGTATTTTACTATAATACTGTTGTTTTGTTGTTGTTGTTGTTGTTGTTGTTATTGAGACAGGGTCTTGCTCTGTCTCCCAGGCTGGAGTGCAGTGGCTTGATCTCAACTCATGGCAACCTCTGCCTCCTGAGTTCAAGCAATTCTCCCACCTCAGTCTCCTGATTAGCTGAGACTACAGGTGCATACCACCACATGTGGCTAAGTTTTGTATTTTTTGGTAGAGATGGGGTTTTACCATGTTGGCCAGGCTGGTCTCGAATTCCTGACCTTGGTTGATCTGCCTGCCTTGGCCTCCAAAAGTTCTGGGATTACAGTGTGAGCCACCGCACCTGGCCTCTGGGTAGTTGTATTTTAATCTAACATTTGCTAATCCTTTTCTTTTTGCCCATCATTTCTCTTTCCTTCTCTCTCTCTCTTTCTCTTTCTCTGCTGTATGTTTGACTGAACCTTTTTTGTGATTCAGTTTTGCCTGATTTGCAATAATTTTTTGTTCCATTGCATTGTTTTAGAGACTACAGTATAGCATCATTAGTCCATCAGAGTTTACCTTCAAGCAGAATTATACTAGTTTACATATAGTGTAAGAACCTTGTAGCTATATACTTCTACCCTTTTGGTTTCGTGCTATTTTTATCACTTTTTTTTTTTTTTTTTTAACAGATGTTACAAAACTCACAATTTATTGTTACTCCTTTTGCTCTACATCAGCTGTCTTATAAAGAGTTTAAAATAGGCCAGGCGCGGTGGCTCATGCCTGTCCTCCCAAGCACTTTGGGAGGCCGAAGCGGGTGGATCACGAGATCAAGAGATCAAGACCATCCTGCCCAGCATGGTGAAACCCTGTCTCTACTAAAAATACAAAAATTAGCTGGGCATGGTAGTATGCGCCTGTAGTCCCAGCTACTGGGAAGGCTGAGGCAGGAGAATCGTTTGAACCCAGGAGGTGGAGGTTGCAGTGAGCCAAGATCGCAGCACTGCACTGCAGCCTGGCAACAGAGCGAGACTCGTCTCAAAAAAAAGAGTTATGAACAATTCTTTATTATTTATCATTTTTACTATATTTGTCTGTTACTCCTTATCCCTTTTCACAGTTTCAATTACCTTCAGTCAACTGAGGTGTGAAAAATATTGAATTGAAAATTCCAGAAATAAATAAATTATAATTTGCACACTGTTTTGAGTGGTGTGATGAGAAATTTCACATCATCTTGCTTCATCTCTTTGTACTGCATTTACCATTAGCAATTAATATTTCTAATGCTCTTTATTCTTTTTGGTATATTCACATTTCATTTATTACTTACTTGAAATAGTTCTTTTAGCATTTATTGTAGTGTTGGTCTGCTAGTGATTAGTTCTTTCAGCTTTTATATCCAAAAAAGCCTTTATTTTGTACTTGTTTTAGAAAGATATTTTATAATAGTTGCCCGTGGAATTCTAAGTTGACAGTTTTTTCTTTTAGTACTCACCTGTTTTCTAGATTGAAGGTTTTCAGGGAAAATTTTGCTTTCATTCTTATCTTTGTTTTTGGCATGTAAGACATCCTTAAAAAAAAAAAAGAAAAGAAAAGCCTGGTTTCTTGTAACATTTCCTCTTTATCATTGGTTTTTAATGATAAACAATTTGATAATGAACTGAGTTCATTTACTTTTCTTCATATTTATTTTTCTTGGGGTTACTTGAGGTTCTTAAACTGTGAGGTTTTTTTTTCCTCATCAATTTTACAATTTTTCCTACTATTATTTCTTCAGTTTTGTGGGGATTTTTTGTTCGTTTGTTTTGATCCCCCCATTCTTTTTGAGTAGTCTAGTAGCATGTAAATTAGGCTACTTAAAGTTGTTCTACAGCTCACTGTTCTTTCTTTTTTTTTTTTTAATCATTTTTTTGGTGATTTATGTTGGGTAGTTTACATGTTGTAGTCTCAAGATAGGCTTGGTACAAAGTATGTGGGTTTTTATGGGACACTTGAATAGTACATAATTTTATTTTAAAATTTTAAGCAGTACATTATGTTTTCTAATGGTTGAAGGCATAGCACTTCTTGTCACCAATTTAGATGACAGAGCCTTGTAGACTAATCTGAGGCAACCATACCTTTTGTAAATAATCATAGCTGCTTTTTTTTGGTAACTTGTTATAGAGTCGTTATTTAATTTTGGATTTAGTTTTAAATTTTTGTTTGAAGTAAATAATTTTTGTTCCCACTTAATGGTATTGTGTAGGTATATTGGTGTTGCAGCTTATCTTTGGACTAATAGTTGGCCATGAAATAAAAATTACATGTATTCTGAATTAGCCTTTTAAAAGATTAAGTTGCCTATAAATCACAATGTAGAACAAAGTATTTATGCAGCACTTCAGAGACTCTCAATACAGCCAGATATCCAGTTTTATCTCCAGTAGAAAAGAACAACTACAAAAGAACTTATATTTTTCAGTAGAGCAGCAAATGAAGTAGTTTGCATTTTGTGGTCCAATTTGCATGAAAAAAATAAATATTATTATGTACAAGAATTACACTCAGAGCAGTGAGATGTTCGTACTATGATAGACATTTAGAATACAAAAGTGAGGAAACAAGATTTTGTGAATTTAGTCTTGGGCTTACTCATAGTGTGTCTTTCAGCCATCTCCTACCTCCCTCTAGTCTCCTTTTACCTGTCTTTTCCTCGATTTTGAGTTGATTGTTGTATGTTTATAATGGAGTTCCCTAGTGCCATATTGTCCCAACAGCACATTATGGAATAAGTACTTTTAAAATCACTTTTAAACGTGGAATTAAAATAGAGGTTTCTCTTTGAATGAACCCTGCATTGCCTTAGTGAGTGTCATTATGTATAATTTAAAAATTGTTAACATCTAAAGCTAAAATTCATTTTTTTCATATTAAGTCTGATTATGTTCTGAAATGTAGGTTTGGACATTTTAAAAATGTTCAGTTATGGTTTTAATATGATTTTTTTGTCACTGAAATTTGATTGCTTTATTCATTGCTTTCTTTGTAATACTGTTTCTTCCAAATGTCATGTTTTCATGGGTTTTTATGGACAGATTTATACTTGAGGGTTTGAGCAAGGATGTTCTGTTAAATAAGTGGGAAAAATGACCATCTCTAATGTAGATTGTCATGTGGAAGTGAATAGTGTATTTTCATTATAGTACTCTACCCAATTTTCTCTCCATTCTTTATTTGATACATGAACAAAAATACGTGAGTGAAGAACACCACTGTGTTTTCTTAGATGACTTTTAAACTTCACTAGGTCATGCAAGGATCAGATGTGAGAGGAATGGAGAACCTCAGGATCAACTCAAGTAATTGGAAAAAGTATTTGAAAAATGAGGTGGGGTGGTTTCCAAATTGACCTGCCCAGCATGGAAAAGGTTCATATTTCTAAAGTAAGCCATGAAGTTTCATCAGCTTAAATGTGATTGGTTTGTAAAATGGGATTTTTTTCCTTTTAAACTTACTTTGAAACGTTTGTTCTTGTTTGTGGATTGTAGTTTGTTAGAATAGTGGAGTACTTTGTTTTTATGAAATATTTCTTCTATTTAATGATGCATATCCGTTATTGGCACTGAGATAATGGGGCCTGGGGATGGCAACAGGTTGATAGAAAAGCCGCAAGAAAGATTTGGTTTTCCAAACACTTAATTTTTTCTTTTATTCCTCTTTTTGAAATTGTTTTTGCTAAAAATGCCAGCCATTTTGAAACTTGATTTTATTGTCATGTTCTCGTTTTTCATATTCATCTGATGGTTTGTGTTGAGTGGTGGCTGTATGTGGGAAAATTCACTTTTGCATATTTTCAAATTTTTTCATTTTTATAGCAGAGATTTTAGATACATACAATAAAAAAGTATTCACTTATCCAACAAAAATCTAGTGCCGATTATGTTGCAAGCACTTCGTGAACTTTATGCTGTCCATGCCTCAGATACTTTAGTGAACTTAATGGCGACGTCAAAACCTTCGCCCTAGTGGACTTTATAAACCTTTGATTTCAAAACATGGTGATTAATGTGCATCTGGTATAATACACTTTCATGTATTCGCCATTATTTGGGTATACCTTGTAATAAAAATGATTGCTAAAACTGGAAACTGTTAATACAGATCTTCATCCTTTTTCCTTAACAAATGCAGATCAAGGGAATAATTGAGAGCCACTTTTAGGGATAGTTATAAAATCTTACCTTTGCGATATATAACTTTTTCCTCAACATAACAATTGGAAAAATGATTTCTGTTTCAAATCTTTCTGTTTTTTTTGCAAAGGGACCCTCACCTGAATTCTTTAAAAAGTTTCGCTCTGTCCTCCGCTAGCCTTATAAACTCATGGATATGGTCCTCTAATGGATTTGTAGCACGTTAGTCCCTTATTGTCACCTTCCTGTGTTGAACACTAAAGCTTATTTTAATTTCATGTCTAAGAAGTGTAGACATTGTTAAAAAAAAAAAAAGATGTTGCTTGACAAATGCTTATCTTCAGTATTACTGTGTGTCACTTCATAAATATAACTAATACATACTTTTACTAGTTGTTGCAATTTGATCCTGAAACAGCCATCTTTAAATTATCTATGCTTTTTCTTTTCTTTCTTCTTCTTTTTTTTTAAAGTAATTATAATAGACTTAAATTGTTTTTGGATGATTTTCTTAGGTGAACCGACTTATTTTTAGAACAGAAACTTTGTGTTTATTCTGCAAGTTCTTATTGTTAATGTGTCACCTATTGTTTTCTGTAACTAAAATGTAATCAACTCTTTTTCCTTCCCTTTTGAATCAAAATGTTAGACTTATACAAGCACTAGCAACAACTCTATATCTGGATCACTGAAGCGCTTGGAAGATACTACTGCACGATTTACAAATGCAAATTTCCAGGAAGTCTCTGCACACACCTCTAGTGGAAAAGATGTTTCAGAGACTAGAGGGTCAGAGGGCAAAGGGAAGAAATCTTCAGCTCACAGCTCAGGTCAAAGGGGAAGAAAGCCTGGTGGTGGAAGAAATCCAGGAACAACTGTGTCAGCAGCTAGCCCTTTTCCTCAAGGTATTAGTGATGTTTTAGTTAAAATACTTGTCTTTAAGATGGTTAATAATAGTTATGCTTTGTAAAAGAATTATTTTTTTTTTTGGAACTTATAACTAATGGATGTTCTAGATTATTATATGATTAGTTGCTATAGTAAGATTACTTTAAAGACAGTGTTTCCTATTAAATTTTTCTGGTACTTTTTCTTTCCTTTTATAATATGATTTGTGTTTCCAGAGTTGAATTGTAATTTTAATGTTTAACTAGATATGGAATAATGCTTAAAATTGGGGAGAAAAATAATAAAAGCTGGAGCTTTGCTTTGAGTTCTATAGAACAGCCCTTCTTTTTGTTTGAGATGGAATCTGGCTCTGTTGCCCGGGCTGGAATGCAGTGGCACAATCTCGGCTTACTGCAACCTACGCCTCTCGGGTTCAAGTGATTCTTGTGCCTCAGCCTCTTGAGTAGCTGGGATTACAGGTGCATGCCAGCATACCTGGCCAATTTTTGTATTTTAGTAGAGATGGGATTTCACCATGTTGGCCAGGCTGGTCTCGAACTTCTGACCTCAGGTGATCCTCCCGCCTTGGCCTCCCAAAGTGCTGGGATTACAGGCTTGAGCCACTGTTCCTGCATCTTTTCTATAAGTGTTCTTTATTTATATTTCCTGAACATTAAAAACAATTAAGGTTGGCCAGGCATGGTGGCTCACATCTATAAGCCTAGCAGTTTGGGATGCTGAGGCGGGCAGAACTCTTGAGGCCAGCTTGGGCAACATGGTAAGACCCCATCTCTATAAAAAATTTAAAAATTAGCTGTGTGTGAACTGGGCACAGTGGCTCATGCCTGTAATCCCAGTATTTTATGAGGCTCAGTCAGGTGGATCATCTGAGCTTAGGAGTTGGAGACCAGCCTAGGCAACATGGCAAAACCCTGTCTCTCTAAAAAATACAAAATTAGCCGGGCATGGTGGCACATGCCTGTAGTCCCAGCTACTTCAGAGGCTGAGGTAGAAAGATTGCTTGAGCCCAGGAGGTTGAGGCTGCAGTGAGCTGAGATTGCACTACTGCACTCCAGCCTGGGTGACAGAGTGAGACCCTGTCTCCTTGGACAGGCAAACAAAATTAGCCAGGTGTGGTGATGTGCGCCTGTGGCCCCAGCTCCTCAGGAGGCTGAAGTGCGAGGATTGCTTGACCCAGGGAGGTTGAAGCTACAGTGAGCCGTGATTGTGCCACTGCACTCCAGCCTAGGCAACAGAACAAGACCCTGCCTCAAAAAGCAAACAAACAAAAAACAAAAACAAACAAAATCCACTAAATAAATAAATACAATTAAGGTTTACATTTTACATTTTGTAGTAGATAAATACTGGACAATTTTTAGGGGATTTACATAGATCTCAGTAAATAAGTTGTTGATTAATAATGCATTTGTTACGAAGTTTGAGGTTTAACAGATTAACACACTAACCTGTTTTCTAGGTTGTGTGTGTGTGTGTGTGTGTGTGTGTGTGTGTGTGTGTTTTGAGACAGGGCCTTGCTTTGTTGCCCAGGCTGGAGGGCAGTCGTGTGTTCGTGGCTCACTGCAAGGTTGACCTCCTGGGCTCAAGCATTCTTCCCGCTTCAGACCCTCAGTTAGCTTTTGCCTCTACCTTTGTCTCCCAAGTAGGTGGGACCACAAGCATGCGTCACCATGCCCAGCTCATTTTTAAATTATCTGTAGAGACGGGTTCGGCCTCCTGTGTAGCTGGGATTAGAGGCCCATGCCACCACGCCTGGCTAATTTTTGTATTTTTAGTAGAGTCGGGGTTTCACCATGTTGGTCAGGCTGGTCTCGAACTCCTGACCTCATGATCCTCCTGCTTTGGCCTCCCAAAGTGCTGGGATTACAGGCATGAGCCATTGTACCCAGCCTAAGGTTCTTATATCTTAGAATGGCATGGTGGGGTACTGATGTTCTTTAAAGAAAGAATAAGCAGTGATGGCTGATGTCTTTATGAAGTTCCATGAAAATTGGATTGGGAGAATGTGAGGCATAGATTAGATTCCATATGATCATTATTTTGTCAAATCCATTTTCTATTGTGGTAGATTCAGCTGAACAATAACAATGACTGGTATGTCTTAAAACTGAGAACTCATAACCTAGGAAACGTCTTTAGGTTCTTATTGTATATTGGGAACATTTTCAATCATACCTTCAATATTCAAAAAAGAAATTCCCCTATACATTTAGAGTCAGATTATAGTCTTGTTAACGTCTTCTTGCATGACTGTGGAAAGGAGACTACTGTTCTTTAGTCCTTCCTCAGGCATACATGAGGTGTTACGGGGAGAATTGCGGATGTTGCTGTGGCAAAAGGTAGGTGAAATAAAAAACATCTTATATCTTACAAGTAATAGCTTGCAATTCCACAGTAAACATCAATACCATCTATAAAATGACACGTATTTTTAAAGGTAATTTTAGGGATAAATTTGACTTCAGTAATAAGTTTTCAAGTCTTAATATACTGATGTCCTAAGTGTTGTAGTTAATTTTTTTAACTCTCTCTTCTCTTTAATGATTATATCATGTCTGCTGCTTATGGGAACTTTAGCATCCAATTTTTCTGTCCCCCCACCCCGCCTTTTTTTTTTTTTTTTTTTAACTACAGGCAGTTTTTCAGGAACTCCAGGCAGTGTAAAATCATCTTCTGGAAGTTCAGTACAGTCTCCCCAGGATTTCCTGAGCTTTACAGACTCAGATCTGCGTAATGACAGTTACTCTCACTCCCAACAGTCATCAACAACCAAAGATGTACATAAAGGAGAGTCTGGAAGCCAGGAAGGGGGGGTAAATAGTTTTAGTACCTTAATTGGTCTCCCTTCAACCTCAGCTGTTATTTCACAGCCTAAAAGCTTTGAAAATTCACCTGGAGATTTGGGTAATTCCAGCCTTCCTACAGCAGGATATAAGCGGGCTCAAACTTCTGGCATAGAAGAAGAAACTGTAAAGGAAAAGAAAAGGAAAGGAAATAAACAAAGTAAGCATGGACCTGGTAGACCCAAAGGAAACAAAAATCAAGAGAATGTTTCTCATCTCTCAGTTTCTTCTGCTTCACCAACATCATCTGTAGCATCAGCTGCAGGAAGCATAACAAGCTCTAGTCTGCAGAAGTCTCCTACATTGCTCAGGAATGGAAGTTTACAGAGCCTTAGTGTTGGCTCATCTCCAGTTGGTTCAGGTAGGGGTTTACCTATTATTTTTTTCCTTCACTCCCACCACCTCCCTTCTTCTGTCTCAAAATGTTTTCAACTATTGTTACGATAATACTTGGAATTACTAAATGACATTTAATTAAAGTGAAATTTTTTAGTTTTTAAATTCTCTAATGGAAAATACAAAAATGTCTTAAAATCTTAGATGATTTGGTTTTTGGGAAAGATGTTCGGCACTAATTTGATTTTACTTATGTAGGCTAAACAGTCTATTGGTCAGTCATTCATTACTTACAAAACGCTTAGAATTTATTTCCTATTTTTGTTTCACCTGCACAGTATTTTTAAAAAACCAATGCAGAATTTACATTGAGGGTGTGAGTGTTTTTACCCTTTGTTTTTTGTTTTGTTTTGAGCTCCCTTTCTCTAAACTTCAATTTTAGTCATCATTTTCTAAATGACTTCTCACACAGGTATTACTTGAATTACTCTATCCTGGGACATTTTTATATCAGTGATAAATGATTTAAGTTTGTGGAATTTAGCAGTCACATTTTATTTCAGGAGATATCCGAAATGATTTAATTTTGTTTTCAAATATACTTCATAATTTTACCATTCTTTTTATTATACGACAAGTGAGTTGATATACATTGTTATTCACACCATTGGGATGTTTCTGTAACTTGCAATTTGTGTTATGAATATTATTTTCAATTTTTAAAAATTTCTTCAAAATGCATGTTTTTAGACAGACCCTTAACAGTTGATATTAACTGAAATGTCAGCATCTATCTTTTAAATTGCATCTTGAATTTAAGATAAATGATTTTCAATAAATGTTGAAACCTTTCTTCTAGTTTTAGATTTCTGATTGTTGAAATAACAAGAATTTAGCTAAGATAAATTATGGATTGTATTTGTTCTGTTAGTTGGTGGCAAGGGTAGGTAGGAAATGGTATGGAAAAATGATACAATTTAATGAAGAATGCTCATGTTTATTTTATAAATACAGAGTTTTAGATTGTTTTAATAGTTGTGAATACAGAGTACTAACTTCAGTAAACAAACAGAAAAAAGACCACTCCAAGAGAGAAAATATTATATGTAAAGGTCAGATGTGAGAAATAGTAACTATAACTGTGATTTGTCATGTGCCAGTTATGTTAATATTTATTATCTCATTTAACAACGGTTATAAAATGTCCTCATTTTACAGCTGGTGACACTGAGGCTTTGAAAGCTAAAATAAGATGCCCAAGATCACGTAGCCAGGAGTTTCTTTGTATTCAGAAATGAGTGGAATCTACAGATGCATTAAGGATGGTTCTAGAGCAGGATTTATCAATCTTAGCGTTACTGACAATTTGGATCCGACAAGTCTTCATGTGTTACCCTGTGTATTGCAGGATATTTACCAGAATCCCCAGTCCCTACCCCCTACAGGCCAAGAGCATCATCACACTCTCCCTTCCCACAGTGGGAATAAAAAATGTCTCCAAACATTGTTTAATGTGTTAAATGTGTCCCGGGGACCAAAACTACCTCTGGTTGAGGCTCACTATTTTAGAGGGGGAAAATATATATAAATTGTAGTGAGAAAGTAGTTCATAGAAAAGGTTTAAATATATTGCATATTTGAATGTATGCTTTTATTTATATGTTTCCTTGGAGACCAGAGGGCTTAGCAATAAGCCCCCTTGTCACAAAAAGTACCTTTAGACAAATTTAATTTAAAAAATCGAATTTCTCCTCATTTTTAGCAAGAGGCGTAATTAATCACGTGGAGTACCTTACTGAGAAGATAAAGCTAGATTTGCTTTTGTAGGGAGACCTCTTTACTGATTTTCTGTAGTTTTGAAGCATAGTCTGAGAATTTCTAAATTTCAGAAATTACATTTGAATGCTTATTTGAAACACGTCTCCAAATTAATAAAATTAAGATATTGATTTACATCCCTGAAAATATTTTCCTATCTGTTACAGATTTGGGGAGATGTTAGGTATAAGGAGTAGTGTTCCTCATAGGATGGTTGCTTTCAGAGGGCAGTGTTTATGCTACTCTTGTGGCAGAAAAAAAGGATTTGTATCTCTTACCATTAGGTAAATATAGTAATTTAGGGGGAAATTCTTACAAGTATTAGTTCACAAAAATAAATGACCTAAGAAATTTATCTGCCGAGAAATTTTTAAAACGTTGTGTTTAAAAATTACTCTGAGGCTGGATGTGGTGACTCACACCTGTAATCCCAGTACTTTGGGGGTCTGAGGCGGGCGGATCACCTGAGGTCAAAAGATCGAGACCATCCTGGCCAACATGGTGAAACCCCGTCTCTACTAAAAATACAAAAATTAGCTGGGCTTGGTGGCACACACCTGTAGTCCCAGCTACTAGGGAGGCTGAGGCAGAAGAATTACTTGAACCTGGAAGGCAGAGGTTGCAGTGAGCCGAGATCAGGCCACTGCACTCCAGCCTGGGAGACAGAGCGAGACTCCATCTCAAACAAACAAACAAACAAAATTACTCTGAAGATGTTATATGTCTTGTTAAAGCTATAATCATGGAATAAGATTATTGAAAACTATTTGAGATACATTCTTTAGTTTTATATATGTTAATAAACATTTTAAGACTTAGTGCAGAACATTTATTGATAATAGTAAAAAGTGTATCCTTATCCAGAAGAGGCTTGGCTTCATGCCATGAATATTTAGGAATTACACTGCTTTAGTCATAATAAGTTAAGAATTGCTAACTGCTGATGAACACTGAGTGTGTGCCACACACTGTGTTAAGCAGTTAATAAGCATTAAGTGTTATTCCTTCTTATATAGGACAAGAAACTGAGACAGAATTCTCTTAGGTTTTAAGTGATGGAGATATGCATTTTCCCTGGGTCCAGAGCCGTTTAATTAGACAGTTTAACAGGTGTTTGCTGATGAGCGTCTAACACCACACTATTGTAACGTCAGTTTTACTTTAAGCAAAGAGATCCCTGAACAAATTTGAACCAATAATTTAACTTTCAGCAATAGTGTTTCTTACTAGTATGAAAAGTTAATTTTTCCTTCGAACTAATTTGAAATTGAGAAATCGTTTAGTAATTGGGGAAACAAGAAGCTTCCCCCCCATATAATAAATAACTAGGAAGGAGAAAATGTATACAGTCATCCTTTGGCATCCATGCGGAATTGGTTCCTGGACCTCCTGCAAATAAATACCAAAGTCCAAGATGCTCAGGTTTCTGTTATAAAATGTTATAGTATTTTCATATAACCTATGCATATCTTCCTGTGTACTTATTCATTTCTAGATTTCTTGTAATATCTAGTATCATGTAAATGCTATGTAAATAGTTGTTATACTGTATTGCTTAGGGAATCATGACAGGAAAAAAAGTCTGTACACATTCATTACAGACTCAATTTTTTCCTCCAGATATTTTCTATGCAAGGATGGTTGAATCCCCAGATGTGGAATCCCACAAATACAGAAGACAACTGTATTATGTATTACATCATCACAAATTGTTTTTCATGATGCCCTTTCTAAAAGATTGACTTTCTTGAATGACAGGTTGATAATTTAGTAATGTCGAAGATGACCTTTGTAAGCACGTTAGTTAAACTGTGACATTCACTATAATAGTCCTGAGGCTAGGGGCTGTTTCTGACATTCACAATTGTATCCCCACTTCCAACACAGTGCTTTGAACATAGTAAATGTTAAACATCATTTTTAAAAATGAGTGAATACCATTAGTTTTCTCATGAGTGTATGTCATGTGGTTAGTAGTATCCTGTATGATTTTGTACTTGCCCTCTGAGTGTTAATAGCTAAGCTGTAAGACAAATTACTTTATTTGTAAAACTTTGCTTTTTTTCTTTTCTTTTCTTTTCTTTTTTTTTTTTTTTGAGTTGGAGTCTTGCTTTGTTACCCAGGCTAGAGTGTAGTGGCCTGATCTCGGCTCACTGCAACCTCTTCCTCCCGAGTTCAAGCAATTCCCCTGCCTCAGCCTCCCTAGTAGCTGGGACTACAGGTGCGTGCCACCACGCCCAGCTAATTTTTGTATTTTTAGTAGAGACAGGGTTTCACCATGTTGGCCAGGATGGTCTCCATCTCTTGACCTCATGATCCACCTGCCTCAGCTTTGCAAAATGCTGGGATTACAGATATGAGCCCCTGGGCCTGGCTATTTTTAGAGCTTTTCATGTAGTATTTATTTTGCCAGTTTGTGATGAAAAATATTGTTAAGTTGGAAAAGATCATGGAGAGGTTGAATTGTACTTTGAAGTAGGCAGAAAATGAAGGCCAACGTTGCCTGAAAAGAAAGTAAAGGTCTGTTTGAGGGAAAAGCCTAATAGGAACAGGAAGCTTGTGTTTGTGGCACTGTGAAGGTAATGTTTATAGGGTAGGATGGGTTCATGGAGAAATGAATGCCAGACTGAAGAAATCAGACTGATAAGCTAATGATCTTTTTCTTAAAACAACTATTGTGGCTAATTATCGTTATTAAAGAATTTCATTAATGGAAAAGAAAAAAATCCTGTCTCATTCAGCTTAGCAATGCTTATATAATGTCTTATTTGAGTACATTTAAGTTTCTTAGGAACTCTTTAGTTACTTTCTCATTTGATCCTTGGAACAGCCTTGTGAAATAGGATAGCTCCTGTTGATGTTGTTATTTCTCCTTTACAACTAGGATGTAAAGCAGTAGAGTCAGATTCTAATGTTGTGATTCCCTCTTGAAATTATTGGCTAGAAGTATTAGTTTTAATAGTAATCAAAATTCTCTCATGACATGTTCAAATTGTAGCAGAGTACATTTTTTCTGGGAACCGTAGATCAAATTAGAGTAGAAGCCTAGAAAAACACCTATAAAATGTTTGATTCAGAGTTTAGATTGTAAAATTTTTATTATGGATTGAAGTGTGTCCTGATAAATGACCTGTTTTATAGTGACTTGTACAAAATGGAAAAATAGTGTGTTTTTAAAAGTGATTTCAGGCCGGGCGCGGTGGCTCAAGCCTGTAATCCCAGCACTTTGGGAGGCCGAGACGGGCGGATCACGAGGTCAGGAGATCAAGACCATCCTGGCTAACACGGTGAAACCCCGTCTCTACTAAAAAATACAAAAAACTAGCCGGGCGAGGTGGCAGGCGCCTGTAGTCCCAGCTACTCGGGAGGCTGAGGCAGGAGAATGGCGTAAACTTGGGCGGCGGAGCTTGCAGTGAGCTGAGATCCGGCCACTGCACTCCAGCTTGGGCGGCAGAACGAGACTCTGTCTCAAAAAAAAAAAAAAGAAAAAAAAAGTGATTTCTAAGAGTTTTAAGTTTGGGGCTTATAGGTTTTGTTCTTCTTTTGACTGAACTCTTTTCTATGTACGTTCTTTTGAGTTCTGAACAGTTAGGCACGGGGTCTTTTGAAACATCAAAAACCGTTTTGAAAGAGTTGACAATCTGTCCTTTCCTCCTTGCTATTTATCTTCACCACATTACAAAAATTTATGATTTACTAAAGTGAAAGTTGAGAACATCTTTTTCTTCACTAAAATCATCTTGTTATTTTCTCTGAGAAAAGTCTGATATTCATTAACCCATTTATGCTGGAGGTTGCAACTTTTTCTGTGTGAAAAATCAGACCCTGGTGATGACCTTGAGCAGTAGGATATAAAGAACTCCCACAAATTTAGGTTCCAGTAATGGAACACGAGGCATAAAGAACTCAAAGTGCAAGAGGTTGATGGTTTAGCATTTCCTGGGACGTACTATGTCCTTTCAAAGTACAGGTTGAGTAACATTTATTAAAAATTCTTGAGACCATAGTGTTTGGAATTTCAGATTTTTGGGGGATTTTGCAATACTTGCATTATATATACTTACCAGTTGAGCATCCCTAATCTGAAAATCAGAAATGCAAAAATGCTGCAATGAGCATGAGAGTCATGGGAGCACTCAAAAAGTTTTGGATTTGGGGGCTACGTTTTTGGTTAAATAATATCCAAGGAATTCCCAGGTATCCCTCCTTTAAAAAACTTTTGCCAACAGTGTTAGCCATAAGGGAATACCAGTTGCTTCCAGAATTAGCAAACCCAGGTCCTTTGAGTCACAGCCTTGGTCCAGTTTTATCAGTTATATTTCCCTTAGAAAGCCATATAGAAATTAAGTTCTCATATTCTGAGCAGATTTTGCTTTTAGTAGTGTTTTATTGCCTTGTCCTCTGCACCTTCTGCTTGTTCTTGTTTCGGTGGAATAAAAGAGTAAGGGTAATAATGTCTTATTCATTTGTTATCTTTCTCTTTTCTTGTTTTTTTTTTTTTTTTTTTTTTTTTTTGAAACCGTGTCTTGCTCTGTCGCCCAGGCTGGAGTGTGGTGTTACAATCTCGGCTCACTGCAACCTGTTTTCCACGTTCAAGCGATTCTTGTGCCTCAGCCTCCCAAGTAGCTAGGATTACAGGCATGCGCCACCGTGCCCGGCTAATTTTTATGTTCCATATTGGGCAGGCTGGTGTCAAACTCCTGACCTCATGTGCCTACTTTGACCTCTCAAAGTGCTGGGATTACAGGCTTGAGCCACCACACGCAGCCATCTTTCTCAAAAATGAATGGTTCAAGATAGTGAGCTAAGTGTAACTTAATGAGTTTTATGCTGCTATGTAAGTCATAATGTATTTATGCTCATATATCAACTAAATTTTCATACTTAAATTGTGATTTCCACATGAAAACAGTATTCAAATGTTTTTGGCAAACTCTTCCCATCTAATGAATGACCTAGGCCTAGAGCGGTGGCTCACATCTGTAATCTCAGCACTTTGGGAGGTCAAGGCAGGCATATCACTTGAGGTCAGGAGTTCCAGACCAGCCTGGCCAACATGGTGAAACCCTGTTTCTACTAAAAATACAAAAATTAGCTGGGCGTGGTGACGTGCACCTGTAGTCCCAGTTATTTGGGAGGCTGAGGTGGGAGGATCACTTGAACCCAGGAGGCAGAGGTTACAGTGAGCTGAGATTGTGCCACTGCAATCCATCCTGGGCTACAGAGTGAGACTTTGTCTCCAAAAAAAAAAAAAAACCCCGAAAATCTAAAGCGTATTAGTGTATCATGTTGCGAATCATACTTTCTCGCATTAATGAAGCCTTATATTCTCAGACACTGTTATACAGATTCATTTGTAAGCCCTTATGTCTTTTCCTCACTCTTTGTAAAAACACACAGATACATTCCACACACTCCCATTAAGATTTATGAGAATTCTGTCACATTTGGTTCTCCCCCTCACATCCCAATTATTAGCTTATAATTTTTGTTTTTGAAGTTCTAGTTGGCCTACTTAACTACACTTTTAGGTGAATTTCCCTCCATTTTTCTGGCCTATTTCTTTTTTTACCCTTGAGTCACTGGCAATTTATTCACTGATTTCCTTTTTCCTTCCTCTCAACAGAAATTTCCATGCAGTATCGGCATGATGGAGCTTGCCCAACAACTAGTAAGTTGTTTAACTGGGTTGATAACCCAAGCCTTTTGTCTCCTCTGGTGCTCTTTCTAGTATGTTATGCCACCTGGGAACCTCTCAATTTTAATTTTCCAAAATGCAAGTTTTTCTTAATTGAACATATTTTTTCTCCTGCAGAGATAATATACTGCTTTGTCTTGTTATGGGCCCATAGTACAGTCAAATTGTGTATAAATTTTAATTATTGTTGGTCCTTTATTATGGTGCTTTTATTGCAGAATTGTAACTTCACCTCCTTCTTGAAATAATGTTTTTTTTTTTTTAACATTTTGTTTTCTATTCTTATAATGTTTCAATATTTGTATATTTGCACTAGGTGGCTTTCTTGATTAGTCTTCTACATGTGTTGAGGCTTTCTTACACTGAAGTCTAGGAAATGAGAATATTCGATAGAGTTAGATGATATAATGAGGTTTTTCTTTATGATAAATATTGTTAAGTGTGCCCTAAGGCAGATTTACCTATATAGAATTGCATCCTATAGTGACTCGCTTTTAGCAAGACATTATGTTGACATAAATGTCTTTTAAAAAGTGATTTGAAATACATATTTATTACTAAGGAAATTATTGTCATTATGGCAATATATCTAACATATCTCAATTTAGTTGATAATGTGTTGGCAAGTGGAATACAATATTTAAAAATTTATACCGTGTAAAAATGGAGCCAAGCTTGCAGTTTTAATGATTCAAACAATGATACATGATAGACTTACTGAAATTTTATTATACTGATTCAGTCTATGGCTATGTATTTCTTTTGTGTGTTTGAGAATGATCTTAACCTGAAGTCCTTTTTTCCTTACTTAAAAGCGTTCTCAGAGTTGCTGAATGCAATACACAATGGTAAGTTTTATTAGAATCTTCTCTAGTGGTTCGTTTATCACAAAGGTTGCCTTTTGTAGAGAATCTCGATTGAAAGCTGGCATGTTCTATTGATTAGATGAAATCCAGTGCTGCAGTGAGTCAATTGTTCAGCACCTTAGTGAAAAATTTTTGTAGATTGCTAATAAGAGGATGATAGGTCAATATGGTTCATCAGTTTGGCTTTTATTGTTTCTTTTTAAGGCAAAATGATAATAGCGTTTAAAGTTTCTGAAAATCTTTTTATTTTTACAAATGGTTTTTCTAGTTCTTTTGAGATCTCTCTTGCCAGTGCAGGTAATTATTGGTACCTACGTGAAGAATTTGCTTGGAATATGAATTTTATTTTTTAGGGTTTGGGTTTATTAATATGTAGAATACTTTAATCATTTAACCCCATATTCCACATAGTGAATAAATGGAAGATAGTATTTTAAATTACATCTGGTTTGGTATGAGGTTTTTTACAGTGGAGTTGTATCTTTTGCTGCATTGGGTTCTGAAATCAGCATATAAGGCAAATACTGTCTTTGTAATGTAATTATAATGAAGATTATTCTTGCAAAAAATGTTTGGAGGTTTCTTCAGTTTCCTCAAAGAACCTTCATAACCCTTTGATGTTCAAAAATTCTCATTTTGAGGGTAGTGTCAACTTTGTTGATTTTCTTTTTCATTTATTAACTGATCTCATTTATTCAAGACTGTTTATGTTCAAGACTCATTTGTTCAAGACTGCTTGATTCCAAGCAGTTTTTCAATACATTTTTCATTAACTTCATGAAATCTTGCATATTTTGCTAATGTGGTTTAATTTGCAGTCAATATGTGTTGCGCTTGGATTTTATTGTCAGATGTTTACAGTATCTACAGCCAACAAGAGACTAATGGCATAATGAGCAGGCATAGACACTCTTGTTGCTTTAAGGGTGGGCGCTGTTAGGGTGGGAGGCTTATCTTATAAGTTATTTTTTATTAATTAATAGATTGATTCATAATTCTTACCTCCCTATGCAACCTGTGCTTGTGGAAGCTTAGATAATGAATACTCTTGATAACAAGGAGTCCCTCAACACTAGGTATCTACAGGGAAAAGTGATTGGCAGCATCCTTGAAAATAAAATAAACTTGTTACTGTTCTTTGGGAGAGAAGTATAAAAGCTGAAGTTGTTTAACATCATCTTCAGTTTGCATAAGTAAATTTAGAATTGTTCTTTTATTCTTTAATCGTGAACATCTTTAGAAAATAAACTTGAGATTCAAAGAAAGTAGACATCATGGGACCAATGTAATGGATTTATATTTTTCATTGCAAGTGTAGGATTGACACCTAGTGAATGATGTTTATCCTGTGGGTGATTGAGGGAGAGTCTCTTGGACTTCGTTGGAAAAATTTGTACTGTATTTTCTCTTTTTTCTCCCCCAACAGTTAGCTTTTCTTTCTCTTTTATTTTCTCTTGAAATTTTTTGTGTTCGGGGTTTTTTTTTTTTTTTTTCTTTTGAGACAGAGTTTTGCTCTTGTTGCCTAGGTTGCAGTGCAATGGCGTGATATCAGCTCACTGCAACCTCTGCCTCCTGGGTTCTCCCAGGTGGACTCCCAAAGTGCTGGGATTACAGGTGTGAGCCACGACGCCCAGCCATACCCTTTTCTAGTTACTTAAGATGGATGGTTGGATTATTGATTGGAATCTTTTATCTTTATGAACATAGTTCTTTACAGCTATATATTTTTAGTTTTTTTTTCTAAGTTTTTATTTTTTTTTTAGAAGCAAAATCTTGCTTTCTTACCAAGGCTGGCGTGCAGTGGCATGATCATAGGTCATTGCAACCTTCAACTCGTGGGCTCAAGTGATCCTCCCACCTCAGTCCCCTGAGTAACTGGGACTACAGGTGTGTACCACCATGCCTGGCTAGTACATTTCTTTCTGAGATTATATCTGCTTTTTATGATTTATTTGATTAGTCCTTGATTGTTTTTCTCACAGTATTTTCTCCTTGACTCTTTTACATACTCCCTTGGAAAATCTGCATACCTACAGCTTCAAATATCTCCTGTGCTTATTAGCTTTCCAAATCTATGCCTCCAATTTAGACTTTTCTCCTGAGTTGCAGATTTATATTTCCAAAAACCTAAGAAGCTTCATTTCCGTATGGTACTCAGCCACCTCAGCCAGACTTATGCTAGGAAGTTAACCTCAACTCTGCCCTCTCATTTTCCTAGTCATGTTTTTTTAAAAAAGCTTTTTTCTATTATTGATCAGTTTAACTTCCTTTTCTTTTATATTTCCACTGCCCACTTGGTAATGTCCTATATTGTCGTTTGAACTGTTTCAGCAAACTCCTAACCTTCGTTCCATTATCCAGTCCCTTTTCTAGATGCTACTGGAATTAATGGTCAATCTAAAGTGCAAATCAGACCATGTCAAACTGTCTTACTTAGAGAATTTTCTGGGACTTATGGGATAAAATTTATACTCCTTCACATGGCATGTGGAGTTTTTCTTCATCTCGTTGTAATCTGACTCTCCAGTGTCATCCCTTCTTCTCCCCAACTTTACGTTGCATCAATAGAAGCTATTTGTAGTTTCCTGATACATTATACTATTATATGCAACATCTCTGACATAGACCTTGTTTGTATCTGTTGATGTGGACTTCCAACTTTATCTAGTAAAAGTAGTCATTAAAACTAAGTGTAGTTTTATTTATTTCCTGCAAAGTTTTTTCTTTTTCAGACTCTTTGATAGAATTAACCCTTTCTGGTCGGGTGCAGTGGCTCACACCTGTAATCCCAGCACTTTGGGAGGCCGAGGCGGGTGGATCACCTGAGGTCGGGAGTTCGAGACCAGCCTGATCAACATGGAGAAACCCTGTCTCTACTAAAAATACAAAATTAACTAGGCATGGTGACGCATGCCTGTAATCCCAGCTACTCAAGAGGCTGAGGCAGGAGAATCGCTTGAACCCGGGAGGCGGAGGTTGCGGTGAGCTGAGATCATGCCATTGCACTCCAGCCTGGGCAACAAGAGTGAAACTCCGTCTCAAAAGAAAAAAAAAGAACCCTTTCTTTTTTCAATACTTTCGGGTTCTCGTATGTGATGTTCTAATACTTCCTCCAGTTGGTTTCTACTCTTTCTCTAGGCACTTATTTTGTTTCTGTGAAATATATCTTAGTCATATTTATCTCACATTTGTGAAACTTCAAAAAAAATCTTTCATTAGACAGTTGAAACTCTGAATTATTTTCATCATTTATTCTGGCAACTGATGCATTTCAAAATGTTTTAAATAGAACTTTATAAAACTAAAATTTATTACTTCACAAAACTTATTCTGGAAAAATTAATACAAGTGTAATGACCAAGAAAATATTGACAGAGTCTCACTCTGTTGCCAGGCTGGAGTGCAATGGTGTGATCTCAGCTCACTGCAATCTCCGCCTCCTGGGTTCAAGCGATTCTCCTGCCTCAGCCTCCCAAGTAGCTGGGATTACAGGTGCCTACCACCACGCCTGGCCAATTTTTGTATTTTTAGTAGAGACAGGGTTTCACCATGTTGGCCAGGCTGGTCTCAAACTCCTGGCTGCAAGTGATCTGCAAGTGATCCACCTCGGCCTCCCAAAGTGTTGGGATTACAGGCATGAGCCACCATGCCCAGCCTCTTTGGCTACTTTAAACCAGCATTTCAAAATAATATTAAAAGTGAGAAAGGCCAAAACAAATGTATGAAACAACTCTATTTAGCAAAGAACCAAGTTACTATACTGGAAGAGACAAGACAGTCTAATACAAAGTTAATTCCCAAAGAAAATGAACATATTCCCAAGAATATATATGGAAGTTATTCTAGGACAATGTAGCAATTAACAGCTGTTTTCATTCATTCAACAGTTATGGCAAGCCTATTAGATGATTAGCTAAATACTGACAAAATAAGATGAATAAAAGCCAACTTCGATCCTAAATGAGTTTATAGTCCAGTCAGGAAAAAAAAAAGCTCATAAATAAATTATTAAAGAACCTGGCAAACACTAGAGCAAAATCATCCCTGAGACATGACAATGAAAACTAGGAGGATGATATGCTAGTTTTCAACTGGACTATAAAACTAAACTATAATCTTTTAATACATACTACTTGTTTCATCATTTTTACAAGCATTTAAAATACTTCTATTAAGTGAAATAGAGAAATTAAACTTACAATTTATTAAGATCATGAAATCTCTTAGGCTGCATCATTCCAAGGCACCACCACAAAACCAAACATGAAATACAAGGCACTTTCTTTTATGGGCATCTGTTTAATTCTCCATGTAGTATTCTTTAAGATATTTAAATAACTATGTTTTACCCTTTCCAAACTGCCTTAAAAGTTTCCGGAATTTCCTTTACATAATATATCTTTGCATACCTTTAAATATATCTTTACATATATAATATACCTTTCGTAACTTTTCTGTTTCCTTTTTCCTCTGTTGGGACAATAATTTTAATACTATTTCTTCCATTTTTTAATTTCCTAAATTTCTCTGATCGTATGCAATTTATCCTAGTGGACCTAAATTGGTTTTTGAAATTGGTAAGGTGTTTTCCTAAAGTACTTTTCTTTGTATCAATATTATCCTTAATTCTTTACCTGAAAACACCCAATTTCAAAAGTTTATGAAGTTATTTCACATACCCAAAAGAATCACCTTAAGTCCTAAGATCCTCTCTGAGAAAGAACAAATCAAGACATATGCTTTAATCTCAATATCTATGACTGTTAATATATAATATTTCCTTGGGGCCGTGCATGGTGGCTCATGCCTGCAATCCCAGCACTTTGGGAGTTTGAGACCAGCCTGGTCAACATTACGAAACCTCTTGTCTGCTAAAAATACAAAAATTAGCCAGGCGTGATGGCACATGCCTGTAATCCCTGCTACTTGGGAGGCTGAGGTGGGGAGAATCGCTTGAACCCAGGAGGCAGAGGTTGCAGTGA